CAAAGTCCAGAGTTGGCTTTGGAATTTGCTAACCAAAGTCACAGGAAGTAAAAGATCATCAGGGTCATGCTTTATCATGTGATTTAATGGAGAGCTGTGGGTTGAGAGTCAGAAGCCCTAGGTTCAAGTCACAGCTCTGCCACAGGGGAAGCACCTTGGGCAAATTCCTTCACTTTTTAATTTCCTGATCTGGGAAGACTAACATTTGCACTGGTCTGCTCACACACAGGGTTGTTATGAAGGTTAAACTAGAGAATATCTTCTTCACATATCACTCCACATTACTCTTCAGTTCTGCTGAGAGTTTACCTTGCTCTGGGAAGAATTAGTAAATCCATATAACCATCCCTGAAAAGTCAATCAAATGACTCCATGCATCATCTCGGCAAATTCCTAGCCCAAAATACCCCTTCCCTGGCCACTACCCCTCTCTATGCTCTGTGATATGATAAAATATATGTTCCTTGAGGGCAGGTACTATCTGACATTTGTACACATAGTAATCATGTAATAAATTTATTATTCATTCATTCCTACATTTACCTTGTACTTCTTAAGTGCTATGTGAGGTATTATGATTAATGTGCCACCCTGCCTCCATCTTCTCCGGCCATCCCCATACTTGGGTCATTCAAAGCTAATAATCAGTGAACTGAAATTGAAATACAGTTTCCATGCTCTGGCTAGGGCTGCCAGATTCTATTAAAAATCATTACTTTCTGGTAGCCCAATTTGTTATAGGTTAAGTTATTTCTATATTTGGCCCATGCCGATTAATATAGTGTTTCTTCTAGCATGGTACTTCAGAGCCACAAAGGACCCAGAAGGGATCTTAGAGATCATGCGCTTCAAACAAACTTCTTTCTTGACAGATAAGATAACTGAAGCCCAGCCACTCTGAGTGACTTGTCTAGGCTCACCCACCTGGCAGACCAATAAAGCTCAGGCTGGAACCTGGATCTCCTGGGTCTTAATCCATGCTCTTGCTACTCTTTAAACACTTCACCTCATCAAGACCCTCACAGAGATTGCAGGTTCTTAGGGTTGAACACCCCTCAGAGAACAACTAGACATTTTCCAAGCTTGTGAGATAGAATGTATATCTTGACTGTTTTCAAAGGAAAAAGGAGAAGTAGTAATTGTCCTGAAAGCCTTGGCATTACAGGAATTTGTCTTACCTACTTAAGGAGATGTAGTTTAAGGTTGTTCTTGAATATGCAGTTTTCAAACTGTTGTTCGGTTGTTTCAGTCTTGTCTGATTCTTTGTGACCCCACTTGGGGTTTTCTTGGCAAAGATACAGGACTGGTTTGCCATTTCCTTCTCCAGCTCATTTTACAGATGAGGAAACTGAGGTAAAAAGGGTTAAGTCACTTGCCCAGGGTCACTTAGCTAGTAAGTATCTGAAACCAGGTTTGAATTCAAGTCTTCTCGACTTCAAGCGTGTCACTCTATCCACAGCGCCACCTAGCTGTCCACCCATGAATTAGGATTCTATATTTCAGCAGAGTGGCATGAACTAAGAGCTCTAATGGGTCTAATTCAGTGGACCCATCTGCATCATTCCATATGTGACAGTGAACCCTGAAGCAATACAGCTAGGTCCCAATTAGTGTGAGTAATGAATCCCATGAAGTGGCCACGTATATTCAAGTTCACACTATTTGGAGTTATAAGTAGGTAAAATATGGTGATTGGTTCCAGCCCAATGGAAATATGTAGTGCAAATTCAAATAATAGAACTACTTCAGGAAGCTCATTATTTGTACTAATTGGGATCTAGCTGTAGTCCCTAATTGCTTACACACTGAGCCTATCAGAATCAGATTCTGTCAGCTTGTTTATTCTCACCCTTGGAAATTGAGATAACAAGCATGGAATAGATGAAAGCGTATAGTCAGAAGACTTGGGTGTGAATACTGACTCTACTACTCCTGACGAAAAAGAATCTCTACCTCTCTGCGTCTCAGTTTCCTTATCTGTAAAAGGAGGGAATTGAACTCTATAACCTCTAAGATTCCTTCTAGTTCCCAATTTATGGACCTATGGTTAAAAATTGATCCATTACTTATAAACACACACATGAATTTGGCCACAGTCCTTTCACCAAGTATAAGGCCTCCTAAAGCAGAAGAGAGGAATATAAATGGAGGAATACGCATCTATTAAGTACCTACTATGTACATATTTTGCTTTGTTGCTATATATAGCTTCCCTTGTATATATTTGTTTTCATGTTATAGATTGTAAGGGGATTTGAGGACAGGGACTGTCTTATGCTTCTTTCTGTATCACTAGCACTGAGCACAGTTGCTGACACAAAGTAGTTGCTTAATAAACAATGGTTGATTACTATGTGCCAAGCACTGTGCACCTTACAAATATTATCTCAGTTGATCTTCAGAAGAACTCTGTGAGCTGTGATAAGTTGACCTGGACTCTTCAATTTGTTTCTATCCAGTATCAAACACCAATGAGAGATGACTCTTTGACAGTTGAGGGGCATGACTATAAAATTCCATTAAATTCAAGAGCAAGAAATTTTCGACACCAGGGTGTCACCTCACCCAAGGTTTCAACTCCAAACAGAAAAATTAACCCTCTGTTGGTCCAATGTCCATTAATATGAGGAGATTTGGAAGAAAGACTTTAGTTGCCTGAATTGCTTCAGTATTACCATCTTGCAGGAAACAGGAGGCATGCAAAACCAAAATGGACAAGGTGGTAAATCCATCAATAGACTACTTTATTTTTGTAAAAGATCCATATCATCATCAGGGGAAAAATCTGAAAGCAGACTTGGAAAAGGAATTTCAGATTACTTAGCCCTGCATTTTGGAATGCATGGAGCATTTTGATCATTCATAACTTCCAACAGATCAAACCAAAGGGTCCCAGGGGTAGTAAACTCAAGGTAGTCCAATATTCTGAGCTACTCTGATTCAACTGACATCCAGGCATTCAACACATATTTCCTGATCACTGATGTTTCTTTTTGTTTTTTTTTCATCCAATGAGAATCCAATTAAGCAGGGCAAAGAGAAAATGCTAACAGTCTTTATTTGATTAAAATGAAATCATAGCCTTTTAATTCCTGTTCTTAAGATGAGGAAGATGGGGAGGGAGCAGGAGAGAGCATTTCTTCAAATTTAGCAAATGAAGTAAGATCAGATGTAAAGTTCTCTTTTCTTGTTGCCAGTGAATGAGACTAGTGTTAGAACTGAAGAAGGGGGAAGAGCAGGGATTTCCTTTCATCTGGGAGAGTTCATTGCCCTCTCTGGATGATGGGAATAAATTATCAGGGTAAATTTCATCCCTGGCCAAGAAAGAACTTAAGAGCAGGACTATTTCCCACCCAATGAACACCAAATGGAAGATGGTGCTTGAAGTTTCCTAAAAGAAAGGGTAAAATCCTCTGGATATTATGTTCCTGATGTTTTACAACAAAAGGGGAGGGGAGGGATAGACAGATGTGAGTCTACTGGAGTGCTGGAAATAAAATCCTGAAAGTTCGTTCAACTCTAGCTGATCATTTTCTAAGATTATGCATTTAAAATAGAGGCAGAAAGTAAGCCACAGGTTGAGGGGGAACACTGGGGCAACAGGAAAGCCTGAAAGGGGTAGTTGTACGTTGGCTACATTTCCTGGAAGCAAAAATCCAACTCTGGGAAGGCCTACTTGGTGGTTTGTTGCCTAATGGGAGAGGAAGCACAGGTGATGGGAAGTGTCTTAACATGTGTTTGGTCATCTGAGATCTATCAACTTTGCTATGACACAGTTGCTGAGGGAGCTCCAGGAGCTCATCAGTGAAAGGTCCAGGCACTCAATAGCTCACTGCAGCTTAGGCAAATCAGGAAGTTAACATGAGCCAGAGACATTTAAGACTCTGGCTGTGGTGGACAATTTAAGAAACTCGAAGGAGGTCATCCCCAGAAGATGTATGACCTGTTCCTTTCCCTAACAAAAGGTTTCCCAGGCTCTGCACTGAGCTGAGCCAAAAGTCACCAGAAAAGCTCAGCTCAACCTTCAGTTATGGTCTGATTTTTCTTCCCTGTTCTCTTACACTTAGACGACTGCACAAGAATTCCCCCGTGAACTTCACAGACTTCAAAGTCCACCGGCAGGGGTGGCCATCCAGACCAGTGGAAGGTTTGTTTCCTAACTGGCAACAGTTTTCCTTGCTGAAAAATGTCTCCAACCTCCTCAAGAACAAAAACAAAAACAAAACCCTACGTCAAGGGGCTTTTTGGAAACACAGCTTAAAGAGAGTACCACAGTACCAGCACAGACATACAGAGATACGGACACAGTCAGCCTCTAGTAGGAAACTAGTTCATCTCCATCTCCGTCTCCATATGTTTTCTTTTTCTTTTTTTTTTAAATTTTGTTTTAAAATCACAGAATCCAGGAATTCTGAGACAAAATCTTTCATTCCGAGACAAAAGCCTTCGTCTCGCTGCGATACCCCTTTGCAGAATCTGCTCACCCAGGGTAAGGGTGCAGTAGGACAGAAGCCAAGTGCGCTAAAATCCGAGTTGTATCTCCAAGTATCTTGTGGAAGCAGGGGTAGCAGGAGATACAACCACCGAGTTCTGCCTCCTCAACCTCTATAGAGCACTTCCAACTGCCTTCCTTGCAGAGGCTCCAGCCAGGACGAGGAGGTAGGTGCTGATCGCAGCTAGCGAAACGCTAGTTCTGACTCAGTTTACCCCCGAGCACGTGCTCTCAACCCCCTACACACACACACACACACACACACACACACACACACACACACACACACACACACATACCCACACACAGGAGCTCAGGAGCCAGGGTTCCTGGGAAAACAGAGTATACAGTACTCTAAGTAATCCTCTAAACACCCCAAGCTTGCTTAGAAAGCAGGCGCCTAAGGGGCGCCCCGGCCCCAGGGCTGATAACGGTGTGAAGAAAGTTGAGCCCTAGACCCGGTTTGAATACATCCCTCCATGCCCTACCCACATTTGCCAGTACTTACACAAAGACCCCAAAGAGGAGTACTCGGACCCCGATCTCGATGGCCAGATCCCGCATGGTGAGTCAGAGCGTTGAACCAGTCCCAAACAGTGCGCCCCTTTCCCTCACTTGGATCTCACACCGAGCTGCCCCTCTCTTTAAAAGAGACCAGTCCAAGACTCAGAAGCGCCACAGACTTGGATGGGGGGGTGGGGAGGGCGGGAGCGTCAGGGCGGGAGGGGAAAGGGGGCAGGGCTCAGCCTAAACCAGCGGCCCTCCAAAGGGCCCCCAGCAAGTAGAGCTCGCCCTGCCCCTCATCCTCGCCCATTTCCCAGCGGCGGACCCAGCCACCTCTGGAGCCACAGCTGGAGCCGCCTCGGGAAGCTGCCTAGAGGGGCAGGCGCTCTCCCAGGTAGCAGAGCTGCTGGCGGCGGCGGCGCGGTCCCAGCTGCTGCCGCTGCTGCCGCGCCGCTGCTGCCGCTGCTGCCCCTGCTGCCCCGTCTTGCTCTCGATTCGCCTGCGCCCAAGCGCGGAGACCGGAGGGGGAGGGCTGACTCTCCCCCGCCGTCAATTGGAAAAATAATTTCGCGTCTTCCGCAGCTGTAATTTATTTATCTGGAGAGGGGAAAATCCAGGGATGCCCGAGGTCTCCAGCGCCTTCGGCTATTTTCCTTCCCTTCATAGGAAAACAAATAAGCTCTCTTTTCTCTTTGCCTGTTCCTCTTAAAAGATGAGAAAGAGAGACAGAGACACAGACACAGAGACAGCTTTGTATTACATCGATTTAGAGTCCATATGCTACATACTGTATATTTCACATTATCTGTCACCTCCACACCCCTCAGATCTTAAATCACCCCTTTCTGTGTGACAATTTCAGCCAAGATTACCTCTCCAAAAAACAACTCTTTTCCTCTTTTCTTGTACTTTCCATATCGGAGACTAGACTGAGAAAGAGGAGGAAAAAACAAAACAAAACAAAACAAAAAAGCATTCCTTACTGTCTTGAAAACACTAAAGTAAAAAATGTAATCTCAGATACCCCCTCTGCACTCTCTAATCTCCCACCCCCTACCAACTCAGGCAGCAAAGGTTTTTGTTTTTGTTTTACCCCAATCTAGGGAAGAAAGGGAATTCCCCAGTCTATCTAAGGAAGATTATGTCTCAACCACAAAGCACTAGCCAAAGTCTAGTTGCTTCAAATTGAGGTTGATCTGGTTTGAATTCACTGATGGCTGAGTGTCAGAGAACCTGTCACCAACCTAACAGAGGCCTGGAGCTTTGTGATGAATTTTGAAGAATTATCTCCTCTCTTTCATTTGCGTTGACCAGGCCATACACCCAGAATAGAGGCCTAAATTCCTACCTACTTTAAGGTAGGCTTTTAAAAGAGCACAAAGAAAGGGCCCAGGATTCTAACCCATGCCTTTCCCCTAACTGCGTGTGGGAACTTGAGTAAGGATTTCCCTTCTCTGGGCCTCAGTTTCCTCAGGTAAAATAAGGACATTGTAGCTGATGATCTTTAATGTTCCTTTTGTGTCTAACATTTTGTGATTTTTTCAATTGGAATTTTATACTTTTCACTTTTAAGTTTAAATACTGATGCAAGTATCAGAGTTAATATTAAGCTAATACTAACATGATAAAGAAAAAAAACAGACCAGCTACTCTTCATTGAATATCATTTATGTGCAAAAGAACTCAGGTGCTGTGGGTAAGTGCAAAGCTGTGAGAGACAACTTTACCAAAGACGCATAAAAGCCAAAGTCTCTCTGCTCCCATTCTCATTATCTCTCTCTCCCTTCCTTCCTTCCTTCCTTCCTTCCTTCCTTCCTTCCTTCCTTCCTTCCTTCCTTCCTTCCTTCCTTCCTTCCTTCCTTCCTTCCTTCCTTCCTTCCTTCCTTCCTTCCTTCTCTCTCTCTCTCTCTCTCTCTCTCTCTCTCTCTCTCTCTCTCTCTCTCTGTCACACACACACACACACACACACACACACACACACACTGTCAAGTCATGTGTATTGCATCAAATAATTGGTACAAAGAAGTACTGCAATTATTCTTGGATTTAGGAGACCTATAGTCTAGTCCCAGCTCTGCCACTAATAAATGTCTGACCTTTGGTAAGTGGCTTCCTGAGTCACAGTTTTCTCATTTTTAAAATGTGAAAGTTTAAACTAGATGGTATCTCTGGGTCCTTTCGCTTGAAAAGTCTGTGGTCCTGTACATCAAAAGGACTAGATAACTTCAGGTGGGGGTACATATTTAGAGGCTGAACTAGTTATCTCCTGAACTAGTTACAATAGCTTTCTTACTGGTATTCCTAACTCCTCTCCTTCCTCCCCCCTGCTTCCATTCCACTCTACACAGACTAGCAATCATATTAACTTCCTATAGCACAGTTCCAATCATGCCATTCCTCTGCCTAAAAATCAAGCCTGGCATTCAAGTCCCTCAAGATAATGGCCTCAACCTTTCTTTACAGCCTTATCTTCTACTCTTCCTCTTCACCCACTCCTACACTCCAGCCATACTGGAGTACTATCTATTCTCCAAATATACCTCTGCAGTTTCCTACCTCCATGCCTGTTCCCACAACCAGAAATGCCATCCTTTCTAGCTTTCAGAATTTTACTCATCCTTCAAGGGGTAAATGCCATCTCCCTCCAAGAACCTTTGATCCCTTCCAAAGACAAACATTTTCTCTCCATTCTCTAAACAGTCATAGAATGTTTTAATACCTTCCTCATGACAATTTTATTCTGTCTTTTTAGATTATCTACAGATTTATTATGATATGTAATATGTTTTTTGGTTGGGGTTTTTTTTTTTGGTAAATGTCTCATTCTCTCCACTAGGTGGTAAACTTCTTATAGGCAGGGACTTTGTCTATCTTATACTTCATTTTTGTTGTCCATCTTTGACATCCTTTGACCAATGAAATCACTATGTTACGGTTAAGGTACAGTGTGTTCAGTGGCTGGTTGGTGCAATGTGAGCTGAGAAGGCTCTACTACAGGTGGGACACAAATAGTCCATTTGGGCATTTGGGATGGAGATGTTTCCAGAGCTGTGCATCTCACGTTACCTTTGTACTACTACAATTGTACTTTGTTCATAGAACATTAGCTCTAAATGTGAGCACTGCTGGGTGGTCCCGTGCCAGTGTCTCTTATGTCTCCCAACTGATACTAAAGTTCTTCAGCGTGTTCTTGGACTCTTCTTCTGACCTCCATGTGAGTGCACTGTATGTACCACAACAAAGCACACAGGATCTTACATAATAGGTGGTAGCCAAATATGTGTTGAATTGAATTGAATCCAAGAATTCAGTTGAATTGAAGACATAGATTTGGATTGATTCTAGAAAGATTGATAAAATTCAGATAGAAAGGAAAGAATATTCCAGGTAAAGAAAGTAGCACAAACCAAGACACTAAAATCTAAATGTGTAGTATATAGAACATTGAATAGGCCAGTCTGCCTGGAATAGAAGGGTCATGTAGAATCGTGGGAGAAAAGGCTAGAAAGATATGGTAAGGCTAGATTAGAGGTAGAGTTCAAGGAGTTTTGGCCATAAACTAACATCCTTCTCACAATCACAAAATTTTGTAATTGGAAGGGACCACAAGTAGACATCTAGTCCAATCCATACTCAAAAAGGAATCTCTACTGAAGCATACATGAGAACTGTTTATCTTGCCTCTGCTTGAAATCCTCCAATGACAAGCCAACACATTATGTCCCAAAACATCCTATTCCATTTTGTGATAGCTCTGTAAGGGACTTTTATCTGAAATCAGGCACAAATATTCCTCTTTACAACTTCTACCCTCTGTTCCCAGTTTGTTCTTTGGGGATAAATAGAACCACACTAATCTTACCCCCCTTCAAATATTTGAACACAATAATCCTGATCATTTGAGGCCCTAATTGACTCAGAGTGAATATAAATAGCAATTGTTTCTGTTTTGGCCAAAAACCCAGAGGGTCTTTCCCTCCCAGATTGATTTTTTTTTTTTAGCTAGGCAAAGAGGCTATTCTTTGCCTCACTTCTTAGCCTTAATCACTGAATAGGCATGGCCTCAGTCAAACTGAGACCTGTTAAAGACCTTAGCTTAAAAAGACCATCTCCATCCACCTGTATCTGGCCACTGGACCCAGATGCCTCTGGAGAAGAAAGTGAGGCTGGTGACTTTTGCACAGCCCTCCCTCACTTGATTCCAATTCACTTGCATGTCATGGCATCACCTCCCTGATGCCATGGTCCTGTTTGACTAAGGACAAACAACAACAAATACACAGTTAAAAGGACAATAGAACTTTGATTTCAAAGGTACTTCAGAGGTCATCTAGTCCATCTCTGTCATTGAAGAAATGAAATCCAAAGAGAAGTATTCCTTTTCAATGTCACATAGATAATGAATAGCAGAGGTATGATTCAAACTCAGGTCCTCTGGCTCTAAATCCAAGGCCTTTTCCACGCCAACACCCTGAATCCCTCTCTGTAGTTTAGAAATAGAAGCATGTACTTGAGAAACATCTTCACTTTTTTTCCTTCCACCACATGGTTGGGCAAGATTCCTCACAAGAGAATATATTTAATGAAATGCAATGTCTTCTTATCTGGATAACTTACAGTTCCCTAATCTCTTTGCTATGCTAAATATTTCCACATTACAGAAGGATCATCCATAACACTAATGAGCTTGTATCTCCCTTAGAGGGGTTAAGTGATTTACTCGGGGTCACATGGCTAGGAAGTATATGGGGCAGGACTTGAAATCAGATCTACTTGACTCTATCCACTACCCCACCTAGCTACCTGTATACAAGCCATTGACCAAAAAAATAAAGAGCCAAGTCCTGGGATGCCCACTGGAGAAACCTCATGCTAAATTGAAACAAAATCCTTAACATCTTACTCTTTGAGTTCAGACTTAACAATGATTCCAAATGCATCTAATTGTATTGTCATCTCATCCAAGTCCTTCCATCTTTCCCTGTGAACAGTATTAGATAATGCTAAAATTTAGGTAGTAAAAAGCATCATTCCCCTGATCCACCAGTATAGTCACTAGATCAAAGGAGGAAGTACTATAAGGTTAATCTGGCATAACTTGCATTCAATGAAGTCATGCTGGCTCTTTGGGATCACTTCCATTTCTAGAGGTTTGTAAACTATCTCTTTAATTATCTATTCTAGAATTTTCCC